ATTTGAGGAAATGGGCTTAGTAACGTCTAAGCGGTCCTATCACTGGAAAGCAAACACATTGGATCTAGAGTCCAGACTCTTAAAAACATCGACAAGAAAAAATAATCTTGATTCAATCAGATTTAAGCTTAAATCAAAAGGAAATCCGCTCAAATTAAGAGGCTTTGTTCTTGATTTAAGCTTAGACCTGATTGAATCAAGAGTATTTTTTCTTGTCGATTTTTTAAGAATCTGGACTCTAGATCCAATGAGTTTTTTCTTCCGGGGTTGGTAATTTTTCAAAGGAAATTTAGCAACGCCTGAAGTCTCATACGGCGTTTTTACTTAACACGGCAGCATGCGGCGAAGTTGAAGGAATGCGAGTATAATATCCAAAAACACGAAATAGCGGAAAAACGGTTGACAATGATGTAATGTGATTATGCGGCGGGTTGCCTACGCAGCCGGGGGCGTGAGAAGGGGACATAATTCGATTATCCCACTCGACGTCATCTGAATTTATTGAGTGTCACTCGGGGCGTCCTCGAGTGAGTATGAGTGCATGAGTGTATGAGTATGAGTGCGGGGATTTTTGCGCGTGTACGCAAAAGACGACCCTGCACGCGGTGCTTCGATCGCAGATACGTTCGTTCGGAATGGATGCGTTTGCGGTGCAGGGGAAGTGTCGCATGTCGCCTCGCGTCCCAGTCGATCGGAAAATTGAAGGCTGTGAAGCGTTCGGCTTTTGATTATCGAGGCAAGGGGTTGTTTTTTATTATTGTCAGTTCCCGTTGGATGGGGGAGTGAATACCGGGAGAAAATGATGATTCCCCATCTAATGCACCGGAGGAAAAGTGGTTGAAAAGGGTTGTCTTTCGTTGCACACTGGAAAAAAAACACATTGGATTAAGAGTCCAGATTCTTAAAAACATCGACAAGAAAAAGTGCTCTTGATTCAATCAGAATCTAGCTTAAATCAATAACCAAGCCTCTTAATTTAAGCGGATTTCGTTTTGATTCAAACAAAAATCCGATTGGATCAAGAGCAAAGATTTAGAAGATTTTAGAAAGAGCTATTTTTTCTTGTCAATGTTTTCAAGAGTCTGGACTCTAGATCCAATGTGTTTTTTTTTTCAGTGTAAACAAGTTGTAACAAAACGCACTGAGAAAAAGGATAGGTAGAATTTACCATTAATCCACGCTGTATTTCACACAACGTCAATATTCAGAGTCAATTCTGCCAGAAGAAAAGTAAACGTTACTTTATACGGGTACAGGTAGCCATTCCTCCGACACAGTCGACTTTGAATTCACCCTGTGTAAAATACAGCGTGAAGGAATGGTAAATTCTACCAATCATTTTTCTCGGTGCGTGTCTCTAATATAAGAAAGAACATTTTGTTTCACATGTTTTTAGTTTAAGGCGAGCTTTTTCTTCGATCACGGTTGCCGAAGAATTTGGAAATTAAATGTCCGTTTCCCTGATTTCGTAGCTATTGTTACGATCGTATCGAACACACATCAGATGCACATTGGTCTTTTTCCAAAATTTCTAGCTCTACAGGTTGTCTACTAAAATTTCATTTTAGACTTTCCTGATAATTATTGATTATTCCTGATATTTCGAATTAAATTTCCTGATAAACAAACTGACAATAGTTTGATTTTACAGACCAAAATATTCAGTAAATAATTGCCTAAAATGATTCTCTTTTGCGCAGGCTAACTGCAAGTGCTTAAAACATGCTCAACAAAAAAACGGAATATTCTGATCGATGACCAATTTTCCTGACATTTACTTGATCTTCCCTGATAACGTCAAATTTCCCGATCCATTCCGGTTTTTCCGATTTGTACTCTGCCATGCTAAGGAAGAACGCCGTATAAACATTCGATAGTTGCCAAAATTCCCCATGATAAAACATGTATTTTTGACAACATTCATGCATATTTTTCCTCGAATTTTTTAGATATTTTAGATTAAATTGCGTACAAAATTGTCACAAAATTGTGGAAAATAATTTTCAGAATTTGAAGCAGAAATGTTAAGGTCTCAATGCCCTAAGGTTTGTGGTTCGACAGACAGCAGTGGCGGTTAGGAGTCGTAAAGCGCGAGGGAGTGCTATAAAGCGACCTACATATGTATTTTCAGAATTTTCCCAGTAAATTCGTTTTTTATTGGAGGAAACTTGTCAACGTCTGAAGGCTCGTACGGCGTTTTTCCTTCGCGCGGCAGTACTGACGTCAGACTCCCCGAATAAACTCATTTCGTGTCCAAGTCTCGACTCAAACCACGGACGGACCGCAATCTTCATCCCGTGTCTTGAAAGCCCTCAAGAGGGAGAAACGGTCCGAGGGAACCCCGCCACACGAACTCATCGACGGCTAACTTGCTCCAACTTTTCCGTCATCTAATGGGAAACTCATTAATCCGCGACACGAGCGCCACCTGGCCGGGTGACGGCGAAACTATTAACAGTTCCCACTCCTTGTCTTGTCGTCGACACGAAAAAAGAAACAGACGGACGGAGAGGGGGAGGGGAACGAAAAAGTTTCGGATCCGACTTGCAATGACCCGGCGCGTGGTGGAATTTCTGCGAAGTTCTCCCCCCCCAACCCCCACAGCCCCCCCAAAATGTCCCCCGTCGGGACTCGGAAGTTGCTGGGCAACGTGCCAATCTCCGAGCACCAATAAACTCTTATCTTCGAGGCCCCCACCCTCCGATTGTGGCTTACCGGGGGAGGGGGAGGGGGGTTCAGGCGAGCCGCTAATTGCAAAAAGGGAACTTCTGGTCACGGTTGTCGGGTGATTCTGAAAAAAATCTCGATTTGGTGACGCAGTTTGTTCTAATAAGTAATGAAAATCATAGGAAACGTCACACAACTTGAATTTCAAAATAGCTGAAAATACGCGATTTTCACATCGATACGACGATGAATCCCCTGGAGGATCTGGTCGAATTACTCGCTACCGACGACGCACACTGGATCGAGTCAATAGGAGAGGTCGGACAAACTTTGGAAACATTGAAAGCTTATAACTCCGTTTAGACNTTTGATGCTTAGCTTTGGTTTCAAACTTTGGGCCTTTACTTACCGAGATGGGGCTTCTTCCGCTGATTTTTATTGTTAGCTCAGGGTTTTTCATACTTCTTTTGGACTGTTCCTAACTTTTTTTTTGCTGAAGGGCCCCTGCCTTCCAATGTCCACTCAGTGATTACTAAATTTTTTCTCTTTTTTGTCACTTTTCGTAGGTATTTCGGGCTTTGGGTGACCCATGAATCTAAAAGGCCCACAAGGCCCTTGGACGCCCTTCGATTCTTGGGCCTGCATGGGCCCTTTTGTAGATCCTTGGGCCTGGGCTGGGCCTCCGCCACCCTTTAGATCCTTGATCCTTTAGGGGCCCCATTTAATCGGGTACGGGATCCGGGACAGTGAGGGGAGAGGCATTCCAAGTCCAAGTCCGTGATTTGAAATTTCTCGGGTCAAAAAACGGGAAGGGGTGAGGGAAGTAGAGGGGCGGGAGGGGGGATGATTTTGGAATTTTATCGACATGGGGGGCCCTAGAAAAAATTTTGCAGGGGGGCCCAGCGGAAGTCCGTTACGCCACTGGTCTCAATGCCCTAAGGTTTGTGGTTCGACAGACAGCAGTGGCGGTTAGGAGTCGTATAGCCCGAGGGAGTGCTATAAAGCGACCTATATATGTATTTTCAGAATTTTCCCAGTAAATTCGTTTTTTATTGGAGGAAACTTGGCAACGTCTGAAGGCTTATAAGGCGTTTTTCCTTCGCACGGCAGTACTGACGTCAGACTCCCTGAATAAACTCATTTCGTGTCCAAGTCTCGACTCAAACCACGGACGGACCGCAATCTTCATCCCGTATCTTGAAAGCCCTCAAGAGGGAGAAACGGTCCGAGGGAACCCCGCCACACGAACTCATCGACGGCCAACTTGCTCCAACTTTTCCGTCATCTAATGGGAAACTCATTAATCCGCGACGCGAGCGCCACCTGGCCGGGTGACGGCGAAACTATTAACAGTTCCCACTCCTTGTCTTGTCGTCGACACGAAAAAAGAAACAGACGGACGAAGAGGGGGAGGGGAACGAAAAAGTTTCGGATCCGACTTGCAATGACCCGGCGCGTGGTGGAATTTCTGCGAAGTTCTCCCCCCCCAACCCCCACAGCCCCCCCAAAATGTCCCCCGTCGGGACTCGGAAGTTGCTGGGCAACGTGCCAATCTCCGAGCACCAATAAACTCTTATCTTCGAGGCCCCCACCCTCCGATTGTGGCTTACCGGGGGAGGGGGAGGGGGGTTCAGGCGAGCCGCTAATTGCAAAAAGGGAACTTCTGGTCACGGTTGTCGGGTGATTCTGAAAAAAATCTCGATTTGGTGACGCAGTTTGTTCTAATAAGTAATGAAAATCATAGGAAACGTCACACAACTTGAATTTCAAAATAGCTGAAAATACGCGATTTTCACATCGATACGACGATGAATCCCCTGGAGGATCTGGTCGAATTACTCGCTACCGACGACGCACACTGGATCGAGTCAATAGGAGAGGTCGGACAAACTTTGGAAACATTGAAAGCTTATAACTCCGTTTAGACACAATTTTGAGGTTCTAAAACTAGTTCCAGTGGTTTCCTCGTGAAATTTTCTACCCAAAACACTCCTTGAAATGTAAAATGTGACGAAATAAACATCAAAATTTGCAGATTCAGTAAAAAATTTCATGTCCGACCTCTCTATTTGACTCGATCCACCGTGCGACGCTGATAAAGAGCTCAGCATGTTGGTAATAAAAAAAAAGTATAAAAAAAATTACCCGGGGGGACCCGTTGGGTTGAGTAGCCCGCGGTGCTGCAAAGCCGGCCCTGTCTGGCTTTATTAATGGCGGACCGCCCTTAAAAAATCAGTCGTATTTACTTTCCGGAAATTCCAGACCAGTATAGACGCTGATTCTGTATGTACCCTACTATAATTGGAAAATTGGGAAGGTTGAACTGTACTTACGGAGGCAGCTGTATCCATTGCGATGGAGGAGGAAGCCATCGCGACAGTCGCATTCGAACATGCCGTCGTGGAGCTCGTAGCAAAGCTGCTCGCACGGACTCTCATGTCCGCACCGCCCTGCAACAACACAAAAAAACCACAACCTCAATCAAACAATAAAATCAATTCAAAGAGATGTATATTTTAGATTGTCAACCTTTGTGACACGGAAAAAATGGATTGCTGATTTAACAATTAAATTGTTCAAGAAAGTGACAGACATGTTTCAAATGTACATTTTACAATAGTGGAAAGCTAATTTATTCAACCATGGGCGAGGTTAAAATAGCATGTATTTAAATTGTGAAAAGGTGGAGAAACGGTGCTAGGTCCACACCATTTCGCGGGGACATCAAAGCCAAGAAGTTCGAAAATTATAATTAGAGTAAAAAATAAACTTTTTTAACTCTAATGAGCACCAGTACAAGTACCAATTCCTCCACCTTCTTACATACAATATTCGGGCCACTTCTTCGTGTTTTCATCTCTCGTTTATTGTTAAATCTACATTGAAATATGCCTGCCACTTTTTTTAACTACAAAATTGTTAAATAAGCAATTTCCTTTCTTCCGAGCACTTATCGAAGAGATATCCGTGTTCATACAAGAAGGGGGAAACGTTTTAAAAATAGGTGATCGCGATCAAAATAAACACAAAATGTCAAAGATGTTTTGCGGTTGTTTGCGAGATCTTTATCCATCCGATTACCCATCGAGAGGAAGTTACTTTAACGCCATGTCAGTTCGTCTTCGATTTTTAGTGTAGGCAACATGCGCTCTCCCGTGGTCGAATAGTGGTATCATCGGAAAATGACACGCCAACTCAAAACAGACGCTAACAATAGCTTGTTACCGGACGGATAGAGGTTACTTCCACGTCATGTCAGTTAATTCCTTCCTTTTTATGACGAATCGTCTTAACACAGTGGAATGAGCAACCACTCTACAGGCTGATTGTTGAATGTGATAGACAAAATGTTGAACAAATGAGAAACAGGAAAATAAAGAGATCCTATTGGGGGAATACAGTGGTTGCATTGATGAACAAAGGAGATAAGTAATAGACTAGACAACTGACGACAATGCATGAGAGACCTTACAGTTAGTCCATCATTTTCCCACTAAGTTCATTGCTACCACCGGCTTGCCCTGATCAGATCGCTCCCCCTTTTCTTCTTTGTCTATCTATCAATGGAGATGTTGCGTGTGTAAGGGATTTGCGATTTGACTGTTGTTTCTCATGTAAAAGTTCGGTAGAAACACGATGGTGCCACTGGTTTTCTCTGATATCATCTCCCAAGCTCAAAAAAAGCTCTCAAAAAGAGGCCAAAATGGACGGGATATCCCACCCTACCCTGAGAGTCCACCTCTACATCAAAACAAACTCTCCATGCAAAGATAGGGAGCAAATACATCGACAGGGCTGCAACTTTCTTTGGGGACTCCTAAACTGAAAACACGGCAACCCTGCTAATGTATTTGCTCCCTATCTTTGCATGGAGTGTTTGTTTTGATGTAGAAGTGGACTCTCAGGGTAAGGCGGGATATCCCCTCCATTTTGGCCTCACTTTGAGAGCTTCTTTTGAGCTTGGGAGATGATATCAGAGAAAACCAGTGGCACCATCGTGTTTCTTTCGAACTTTTACAAAAGAATCAACAGTCAAATAGCAAATCCCTCACACATGTAACATCTCCATTGCAATTATTAGCCTGCAGAGTGGTTGCTCACTCCCCTGTGATAAGAAGATACACAGGTTGAATTTTACTCACATGAAGTTAAAGTAATCTCTATCCGTCTGTGAACAAGCTACGTACTAGTTGCGTATGTTTCGAGTGAGCGTGTCACTTCAAGATGACACCACTATTCGACTACGTGGGAGCTCATGTTGCCTACACTAAAGGTTGAAGGCGAACTGACATGGCGTTAAAGTAGCCTTTTCTCAATTTTCGTCAGTCGACCACTCACTAGACAAGGTGCGAATTTCAGCACTCTAATGCATGTTTCTTAACTAAAATTTCACAGAGAATACGACGCGCACAATGGAAATTACCGAAATCAACACCTTCCAAAGATATTTAATGCTTCTTGATGCGTGAATTCAAACCACCCACTTATGAAAACTCAATGCTCTGCGTGATTCACATCGTGCGCTAAACGTCATCATGACAGTCTCTGCGATATCAAAATCTGGCAACCTCAATCTTGACGCTTTGGCTCATCTGTAGCAAATTGCTTATAGTTTGAACACAACATGGTGAGAAATGAACATTACTCGATTGAGAAGCTTGCTGAAACCGTTGTAGTGCGCGATTTGACTTACGTAGAGCTTTGAGTTTCTTGTGAGCGGGCAGTTCAAATTCATCGTAACCAATGTGAAATAAAAACGTTAATATCTTCGTTTGGAGTTTGTTTCATTAGTTTTCGTTGCGCGAATCGTGCTATACGTGAAATTTTGGTTAAGACACATGTATCAGAATTCTTCAATTCATACCTTTTCTAGTGGTCCGCATTGAAACCACCCGGTTTTTCCGATTGGTTCCACCAATTGGATCACTCCAATTTCCCTTTCTCCTCTTTGTCTATCGCTTTGTCTATCAATTCCGATTATGGTCCCGATGAAGAGCCGATCGTTAAAACCAGTTTATTTTCATAGGTAGCCGAGGCTCGGATGCCGACTTGATTGAGGACGGTCGGGAAGTCGGCCACTTTTCGACCGGGCTTCTGGTGTCGGTGTCGGTCGTGAGCGGGACTTGATAATTATTTTCACGGGGCGAGCGAGCGGGGATTATTGATCTGATCGTGCGGGATGCTGCGGCAAGGGGCTCGGCCCGCCGCCACCGTGTGTGCTCTATGATGTATGATGATTGATGAACCTACTTTCGCCGCCTTCCCATCGATGCCGCCCCGCCGGAACGAAACCAAAAGAGTAGGCGCCCGATTTACGGGAAACTAGTAAGCTAACCTGCCGTACTAAGGTAAAACGCCGTATGAACCTTTAGACGTTGCCAAATTTCCTGTTATAAATCACGAATTTTCGGGAATATTTCAAAACATTTTTCTTTCGATTTTTATAGGGAATGTCCTTCGTAATGTAATCTGAATAGTCTAAAAATTTCAAGGAAAAATATTGATATCTTTCCTCAAAAATATAAATTTTATCGGAAGCAATTTGGCAACTCTCGAACGTTCATACGACGTTCTTCCTTAGCACGGCAGTAACGCACCCTGACCGCTTCGCGGCCCAATCCCCAGAAGCGCTTCGCGCCGGTTATGCGTTAATCTTATGGTTTTATATTGTGATAGTAAGATGTATTGTTACTTTCAGTAGTCTGTACTATACAAATTATGTTCTGCGTGACATTTTGATGAGGAAACATAAATCATCATGCTAAAATTCGCACCTTGTCTGTCCCTGTCGCCTATTGAAACCCCCATGACTTCCATTACAATTGTGCACTTGTGCAGGCTTCCCTCTTGTCAAAACCTGCCCTGCAGCTAGATTTTTGAAGCTTTAACTGGCTATGTCGACAAGATATCTTAAGACAAAGTCCTATTTGCGCCGTGTAAGACATCGATTTTCGATTTTTGTCGGGTTGACATGAATTTCAACTACCAGGCTGCTGATATTACTCGCTAACCATGGTTTTCCACTTTGCTAGACACCCCGAACCGGAATTCGCGTCACGATCAGTGCGAGGCATGAATGATCGATCATCGATATTTCCTCATTTGAAGCTACGCTAAAGAATCGATTATTAAGGTGTTCGTTGCGAACACCCTGTTCATCGATCCTTTCCATGGGTTTAAATGGCATATCGATCGATACATCGCAAAGCACGCCACGCCGTTGGTCACGCTGGCCGTCTCGCAGAATCCCTCTCATGTACGTCGAATGTCTCCCCGCCCCGTCACGGTGTTTGCAGTCGATTTCAGCGGTAGAATTTTAAATCAGCTCTCGTGCATCGCCGGAAATGGAGGATTAGGCGACCGGGGGGGGGGGGAGAGATAGGGGGGGGGGGCGATAGCTGGAAATGAAGCGAGTTGTCATAGTAACTGCGACACGGCGTCCGACTGGACCCCGGGCCGGAATTCCCGACGAAGCGTACGCTGAGGAAAAACGCCGTATGAACCCCCAGACGTTGCCAAATTCCATTCGACAAAACAGGAATTCACTGGGAAAGATGTCAGCATTTTTCATCCACTTTTTCAGAGTATTTTATTCGGACTTAAACTAAAAATAGATAACTACTAACTATTACTATACTACTATTAAATGGACTGAGTTAAGCAGAAAGGAACCAACCCACATTTTGGAAAAAAACAGAGTTATGAGTAGTTTTGAACTCAACCACTGCTCTACTATCCATTGCCAAAAATTCAGAGTTTTCGTCGGAGCAAATTTTGCAGAAATTGAACTTGAAGTTTATCTTTTACATTGAGCCTTACGCAGGAGCTAAACTTTAAACCTCTTTTTCTCGGTTCGATCCCGATGTGGCTTGGTTCCTTTCTGTTTAACTCCGTCCAAATGATTGGTAATTAACTATCTTTGGTATCTTGGCTTTAAGTTTTTAGTAAGATTAATGGTTCTAATTTCGATTTTGGCAGTTTATTTTTATTGACAGATATTTTTTTTTTGCTATACTGCTATTTAGTAGATGAGTAAATTGATATACCATTAATTTTATTAAATTTGGGCTATTAAGATTTTTATTTTTGATACCTTATTTTATTCTATTTATTTTTTATTAAAATTTTAAGTCGAGTTAAAACTAATAATTTTCAAAATTATGATTAAATATCCTCGTTTAAATTTAATCCGAAAGAAGTAAACTATTACTGACTACTTAACCATTTTAATCTAAAAATTTCAATGTGAAATAACCATGACTTTCTTGCGAAATTAACGTTTTATCGGAGGAAATTCGGCAACTCTGGAGTCTAGATACGGCGTTTTTCCTCAGGAAAACGGTATGCAAATCCTATGCGGATATCCGTGCCCCCCCCCCCCCCCCCCCCGCGCCCCTTCACCGTCTGGCTCCGCCGAAATCCGCGCGTCGCATGGACGAGTCGACAGATT